AAAACCTCAAACAAAGAAGAGGAATCACCAAAAACCTATACCCCCATACAAAAAGAAAGTTACAAGATAACCAAAAAGAAATCAATTGACAAAATTGGGTTAAGACCCATAAGGACTCAGACTGTTAATCAAGCAAACCGTCCAACCAACCATGCGACATCGAATGAACTCTCCTGGTTGCCAAAGAGGCCGTCCAGGGAGAGGATTAGCAGCTACATCATAGTCTATAGTGCAAGCATCACCAAAATCTTCAAACGGTCATAACACATGTTGTTCCAGCCAAAAACATAAAATAACTCCAGTGACCAAAAATTCCAGAAGTACCAGATAAACCAAGAACCCACCAAATGCCATCCAAGAACATTTTGAAGGGGACAGCAAGCTCCATAATAAGCAAAAATGCAATGCCAAAGAGGTCTAAGCACCATTATGCGTTTTCCACGGCAATTCCAAATTTTCTTTAAACTTCCAGGTAGAAACCTTCATCTCAATCGCTAGCTTGATAATGTTGCATAGAGTAATAACACTTCTAAATTTAAAATTGAACCTTCTTTCGTTTCTTTCCCGCCACAAGTAAAAAGCAGCACAAGAAGTAGTAAGCAATAACAATTCTTTTTTGTGCTTAATCAAACTATCCAATTCACCAAAAAAATGAAGAACTTGAGATAGCCGAGGCCTAAGGAGAAACTCACCCAACTTAGGAATTAGGTTGCAAATGACAGAAAAAGTGTAGTCACATTCAAACAAGATGTGAGGATTAGTTTCAAAGTGTGAGCCGCATAACATATAGTTTGTGGCAACAAAAATAGACCTCTTCCTTAGTTCCTCTGCAGTTTTAAGCCCACCATTGATGGCAATTCAAGAGTATATAGAGTATTTAAGGGCGTAGTGTGTAATATCAAAAATCTGCTCCAGGATCGTCCTGGGACGATCTGGATCGTCCTGGGACGATCAGTGGTAATTTTGCTCCAGAATGTGTCCAGTTTTGCTCCAGGTGATTTTCTGTACATATCGTCCAGGCCGATTTGGACATCGTCCAGGCCGATCGGCACTGTAGAAAATATCGGCCTGAGAATCTGAGATTCCAAAAAATTATAGACAAATATTCATAAATTAGCTAAGCATGTTCGGAACATTCTGTTGAAATTTGTTTGCAAAATGAACAGTCTCAAAAATTTCACAAGTATCAATTTCTTAAGAAATTTTAAAAAATGATAAAAAAAAATTGAATAATTAATTTACTACATTATATATAATATCGCGAAGACATATTGTGATTTGGACATGTAATGGCTTCTAAAATAATTATTGATTGCTCTAGGCCAAAAATTTCTTAAAGAAAAATTAGGGTTTTCACATAATCTATGGTCTTTCTGCGTAAAAGGGCGAAGACTGTCTTGTAGGAGTCTAAAGACCATTAACAATGGTAAAGACCCAGCCGTCTGACGCACGCTCTGATCTTCCTTTATAAAATGGGAGAAGTTTGTCCTATAAGAGTGTAAAGACTGTTAATAACGACCAGATAAACAAAAATGAGAGAAATTTTTCTCCATAAATTAGCAGCAACGAACACGGAGGAAAGAGGTCATGTAGTAATCAGTGGAATAACACATTTATTAGTGAAGAGGTCTTCTTCCACGAAATCAAAAGATTTGCTATAGGTAATATTTACTTCTAAATTTTTTATAATGCCGGTGAGGCATAATTCTTGTTTTTTTTTGCTAGCTTTCTTAGGAACCAGGTAAGCAAGACTTGAGGAATCACTCAATGTAGCCCTAGAGTGCCAGAGTGATAGAGAGCCCCTTTTATTGGATTATATAATCATCTTACACCCTTACATAATGAAAATAAGAGAAGATCCCATAAATTGGCATTGATGGACGATGTTACATCCACTATTTCTTCAGATGACATTGCAATTATTCGTAAGAAATTTCATCTACCAAACGACTTAGTGATTGTTGCACCTAAAGATTCTGATCGAACACACACCCCTCCACCTGAGTTCATCACAATATATGAGATGACGTTGCGTGTAGGGCTAAGATTTTCTCCAGCTTCTAAGTTGATATCTTTACGGGCTGTGACATTGATTTACCCTAATTCTTATGTAGGGTTATAATGATTATTGGTGTCTTGACAATTTTTTTTAGAGAATGTGGGGTAATATTGACGGTTTAGTATTTATCCAAAATTCTCAAATTAACAAGTGATTTAGAAGGTCATGTATCATGCAGGATCAATAGAAAGTGGTTGGTTTTTATACACGCGACCCTCTAAGAATTGAACCAGCTCAATCTTTTTTGTGAAGAATGAATGAGGTCTACCTGAAAGATGGGTGAAATTAAAAGAGCTATCAAACTCCGATCACCTAGGACAATAAGAGATATTGAAAATTTTTAACTTTTTTGATACAAAAAGTCTTCAATAGAAGATACGCCATATTAGTCGGTATGAATTTGAGGAGGAGCTTTTAAGGCTGGTCTTTCCATTGAGGTAGGGAGATCTCATGCTATTTGGCTGAAGAATTCATTAAGCATTTAAGTGCTTTAAAAATCTTAAAAAATGAATAATTTTGAGATTGTTAGATTTATCTTGTTAAACCACTCAATTTAACCACATAAATACACAAGATTTGAATATTGTTTAGTCAACTAATTGATGTTTAGAAGCTTTCAAATATGCTTTAAGTGCTTGATTTATGCTCATTTATGGTGTCGGCAAGCCTGACTTGTCGATATGTTCAAAATCATAGTTTTGATTATTATGAATTCAATTCTAGAAAAATATAATTCACATATTACCTCGAGAATCATGATTCATGAAGATTGTTACGGGCTAGTAAGTTCATGACCATAGAGTGAGAGCATTTTTTGTCCTAGCGATGCACGGATATCTATCACACAAATAGATAGTTGAGAGGGAAAAGAAACACCAAATTTTTTTTTATGTGAAAAATTCAAAAAAGAAAACATCAAGAGGCCATCCCTAAGTGAAAATATTCCATTATATTTGTGTCGGTTACAAAGATCGGCTCATCCCTTAGCTGGAGACAAAAAAATTACAATAGTATGGGGAATTGATCACACTTCGTATGGATACGCGAGAGTTTGAAAGAACCGTGGCCGGACAATGGAGGCTGGAAATCTAATGGTATAGGCTGGGATAATGCTCAGTAGAGATCGATAATCTGGCAAAGATCTGACTATGGTCAGCGTTAGTGTGAAGATTTGATGACAGTCAGTGATCCAATTAAGGTCCGTGGGAAGTTGATGATCCATTGATAATTGATGGCCAGGTGGTGACCCGGCTGCGATTGGCAGCCAAGATAGTGGTTCGAAGGCTGTTGGCATTTGGGGGGTAAGGCAGTGGTTTGACAGTAGTCGACTATTGGGTGATGGTCCGATGGAGATCGGTGGCGGGCGGTGGTTTGACGACGATCGAGCAGAATTCTTATGGTGGTCAGGCACTTGGGTCGAGGTTCGATGGTGGTCGGACAACTGTACAATGGTATGGTCGGTCTACGGGAGTTTGCTTGTGGTGGTGCTTGGGTGGAGCTCTAAATCCTCGAATCATCAAAGCTCTCTCAAATCTCAATCCCAAATGTCCCCTTAATGAAGGAAGGAGTGACTATTTATAGATTTTGTGAGTGGCATACTCCAAAAATATGATGGAGATTAGGAGTGAATCTGGAGCACTCCATTGGATAACATGTTTTGATTCCCCAATCATAAATTATTTATTTGACATTTAAGTAACTTAATGATGTCAAAATTAAGAGATATTGGGCTTGTTGGATTTGTCTTGTCCAGTCGCTCGATTCAAGTATAAACATGTTATATTTGGATATCATTTGATTATTCAATTAATACATTTATGTTTCAAAATGTGCTTTGGACCCTTGGTTTGAGTCTATTTGGGCTTGAATTTGACCAATTTTGATGTCATTAAGCTCGTCTCCTTGAAATGCTCAATTTGATTATAAGTTTGCTAAAATCGGTGTTCGAATGTTTTTGAATTTAATTTTGAAATTTGTCAACTTGAATGTGCCTCAAAATTCATGCTCGCTCAAGACAAATTTTTTTTCTTTTAAATATCAACAATAAAATAATTTTGTTAAAACAAATCATATATATATACTCTAATATAACTTAATCATTTTTTTAATATCAGATAAACAATTAAGAGAGAAAGAAATTAAAATAATTATTAATAACTAATATCAACTTAATTGAATGAATTAAATAAAATCTAACTTATTATTTATTTACCTAAACAATATATGACCCCACTTTTCCAACTTTCTCTTGAAATTTTAGAGGAATGTTAGTTATAGGAAATATATTCCTTCAATGATAGCATTTTTAATGGAGAAATGGGCCCTTTAGTTGTGAGAATCTGAAGAGAATATTTTGTGCGGACATCAGATACAACTTTTTGTTCAGAGTCCAATCAAGTGTAACCACGTCATTCAATAACAAGCAGTACCGAGCTTAGTACCAAGCTCGGTACCGAGCAGGATCGAAGCGTAGTACCGAATAGGGGTGAAGTGGCACATTTTTATTAGACTCTGGACGACGTTCGGCATCCGTACAGAATAATTTATCGAGAATTGACCTTGTCACTCTCCTTGCTTCAATTTCAATTACTATGCACTAGACTTAGCTTATTTTGGGAGGCTCGATATATAATTAGTATGAAGTATTAAAAATTGGATGAACCTTGAAGGGATAGAGAGAGAGAGAGCTTCAATGCCAGAAATATGATTAATAGGCAGCTCATTTTGATTTTTTTAGTTGGAGTTTTGATTATCTGAATTTATTTTTAATTAATTTAAAAGTGTGAAAAATCATTTAAACTTTTAAAATAACAAAAAATTGAAAATATTTTAATAAATAATTAAAATATAAAACATTTAATATCAATATAAATAAATGAGTCAAATAATTTTATTAAATAATGAATTAATATGACTTTTTTTTTCAATATTTACTGTGACCAGTCCTACTTGCCACTCCACTCGTAAATGATGGCCATCCTCACTCCCCTCACCTCTCTGCTTCTCTTCCTTCCCCTTGCCGTCGCCACCTCCTCCTCCCTTGTCGGCGTCAACTATGGCCTACTCGGCAATAACCTCCTCTTCCCAGACAAGGTCGCTCCTCTTCTTCGCTCCATCAACGTCGGCCGCATCAAGCTCTATGGCGCCGAACCCTCCATCCTCCAAGCCTTCTCAAACACCGGCATCGAGCTCATCATCGGGCTCCCCGACCGCTGCGTTCCCACAATCTGCGACCCCAACGAAGCCCTAACCTGGATCCGGTCCAACATCCAACATTACGTCCCCGCCACCAAAATCGTTGCCATTACCGTTGGCAACGAGGTCCTCACCGGCAACAACACATCCATATATCAATCCCTCCTCCCAGCCATGGAATCCCTCCACTCTGCTCTCGTTACCCTACGACTAGACCACCAGATCTCCGTTACAACCCCACATTCCGTCGCCATCCTCGCCTCCTCTTACCCCCCTTCCTCCGGCGCATTTCGTCCCGATCTAGTCCCTCTTCTCTGCCCCATCTTCGACTTCCTTTCCCGAACCAATTCCCCTCTCCTCATCAACGCGTACCCTTATTTCGCCTACAAGTCCGATCCGGGTAACATCTCGCTCGATTACGTTCTATTCGAGCCGAACCCCGGTGTGGTCGATACCAAATCGGGGTTGAAGTATGGGAACATGCTGCATGCCCAGGTCGATGCTGTGTACGCCGCTATCGCCGCGGCAAAAGGGCCGAAGGGACTTGAAGTAAGGATTTCGGAGACGGGGTGGCCGTCGGGGGGCGATGCGGATGAGCCTGGGGCTACGCCGGAGAATGCGGCGAAGTATAACGGCAATTTGATGAAATTGGTGGGGGAGGAGAAGGGAACGCCGATGAAACCTGGGACGCCCCTCAGGGTTTATGTTTTTGCTCTTTTTAACGAGAACTTGAAGCCTGGGCCGGCGTCGGAGAGGAACTATGGGTTATTTAAGCCTGATGGAACACCCGCTTATCCTCTCGGGATTAAATCTCCTCCGGATAACTCAACTGACTCGCCCTCTGGCGGCGGCCATGGAGGAGGTGGTGGCGGCGGCGGCAGAGGAGGAGGAGCACCAGGTGGTGGCGGGAATGGTGACGCTTCGTCGGGGTATTATGATATATCGTCGGCGATTGTAAGTTTTTTTTTTAATTTTTTTTTCCTGGTGAGAATTCTTGCCTTTTCTTCAATCTTATTATCGGTAGATCTGCCGCATCAAAATTCGTGCAATTCATGATCGATCAGTATTATTTTTTGCTTCATTAAGTTGCTCCATTTTACTCAATATAATTTTATTTCATGCTATTTATATATTTAGCAGTTAAAATTTTAATATTTTATGATTATCACTCATAAATTAAATATTGTATAAAAGTAAAATATTAAAATTCATATTATAATATAAATGATAAAAATAAAATATAAGAAAAATATATTTAATATTAAAATTATATATAAGCTGATAGATATGAAATATTAAAAGTTTTAATAATAGATGTATAAATAATATAAAATAAAATGATACGTACGTTTGCATTTTCAATTTCTTTAACATCTAAAATAATTGCTTATTATTAAAAATTACAATAATAACATTCCTAAGTACATGTTTGACATTTTTTTTTTAATTTTCAAACAAATTTTTTGTTAGTGACAATCACTGACAACAACCATTAAAAAAATTATATTCTATAATCACTTTCAAATAGATCTTAAAATTTAAAATTATTAAAAATTGAAATGAAATCATAGATTAAAAATTTATATATTAATAAATTTTAAAATAATTTTCTAATTTGATTGAGCATCAATATCCAGTAAAACAAAAAATGAAACTGTTCTACTGCTTGCAGGGGAGATGGAGGTGGCTCCGGCGGTCGACGGCGGCGGCGGCGAGCGTGACGGTGGCGATGCTCTCCTTGTACTAATCCGAATCCTCACCGACGGCAGGGCTCAGTGGTGAAGGCGAGTGGATTGTAATTTTATTATATTTATTTTATTTTTGTAGCAGTGTTAGATACGATTATTTCGTGTCAGGCAAAATAATGAGCAGTAATTAAGTAGTAATTAATAGAGTAATTGCCCTGTTTTTACTCGTTCGAATTAATGCGTACATTTGGTTGGTTGGAGTGATGGCCTTACTATCATATTTTAAGAGATATTAATTAGTACAGCCACGTGATGGCTGACAGGCTTTGTTTATTCAATGATTCAAAAGATTCGTTTTTCAAAACAGGTAGGGTTGGCTTCATTTTGTTTTTATTTGAATTAAATATTCGAAATAATTTTTTTAATAATAAATATATTTATAATTTAAAAGTTGTGATTATAGAAATTTGAACTTTATAATTATCCTTAACTTATTTGAATTTTATTTTTTGAGCGTCGCTTCTTTTTAAATGTAAGAAAAATCTTTTTTTTTTTTTGGGGAAATAAGAAAAATCTTTCATTATTGCGTATAGGAAGTAAATACTATTAAATCAAATTTTATAAATGAGAAATAATAATGAATGAGATGGTTTCTGTTTGGGATCGAGAGAAAATCTAAACGGAAAATAAAAGTCATGCTCAAGCCGTGAGTTACGAGTCGTGAGAGAGGCGCAAAGAGAAAAATGGAGGCTGTTTGTGTTGGGCAAATTATTGGGTCAGGTGATCGAACGTAGAGATAGGTCCGGATATTAATAAAATATTATTTTAAAATTAGCGCAACTAAAGCGCAGGTAAAGCGCAACTAAAGCGCAAGTCAAAAAGCGCAACTAAAGCGCAAGGTGACGCGACAAATTTTTATTGGATGTCCGAACTTATTTTTCGCCTCCGATCACCTGACCCAATAATTTGCCATTTGTGTTGAGGGCTAAAATTTAATTAAGATTTTTTAAATTTATTTTCATTTCGTCTAATTTAAGTGAGCTTTAAATTCAATCTTTTTAATATAATTTTAGCTCAAATTTTCTAGAGATTTTTTAAAATAAAGTTTTAAATAAAAGTTAAAGATTTCAACTAAAATTTTTGTATTTTTTAGGAGATTCGAAAAAAAATATAGAAAAAAAATGCATTAAATGTTTTTATTATGGATTGAAAAAATTATACTATAATTTGATCATAGTTGGATCAATGTTGGAACATGAATGTCTTCGACTTGATTCATTTGACATTATGTTTGAATAACATTGTAGTCAGGGCTGCAAGCGAAACACGAGCTACTCGTTGTTCGGTTCGATTAAAGCTCGTTTGTGATCGTTGTTGAAGTAACTAAACAAACAAACTTGAACAATATTTTAAATACTCGATTCTTAAATAAACAAATTTGAACACTAATATGTTCGACTCATTTATGTTCGTGAACAATATCATTTGAAGTTCGAGAACAAGTTTGACATTAAGCTCGATAAGAAGCTCAATAAAAGCTCGATTCATGTTCAATTTTGAACTCGTGAATAAGCTCAATAAAAATAATTAATATTTGACTATATAATTAATAAATATAAATAATCATTGCATTTGTTACATAGATAATTGCTTTTATTATAAATGTGTTTATTCATAGATATGCTCATAAATGTATTTGTTTGATAGTTAAAAAAAATTCGTTAAGTATGTTCGCGAACAAGCTCGATAAGCACTAAACGAACGAAGATGAACTAAACATGAACCGAACATAAACACTCATTAATTTAAAATTTTAAATGAACAAAACCTGAACATAAACAATAAAACTCGAACAAACATGAATCAAGCTTGAACAAGCTGATATTAAATGAACACAAATATGAATACTCACATACTCGGCTTGGCTCGGTTCATTTGCAGCCCTAATTGTAGTAAATATGGCATCAACTCTCGTATTACATGAGAGAGAATGAAAAGAATTGCAAACTAATTGGATATTCATGTAAAATGGAGTAAATGATTAAAGGAATGTTGGTTTTATGGAAAAAAGAAATGGTGAGTAAAATGAAATACATGATAAAAAAAAGTGTAATATATTTGAAATGTTTGTTGTTTGTATGTGTATAAAAGAAATGCATTTGGTTATTTTTTTTATTTGGTTTGAAATAAATAAAAATAATGATAAAGCCAAATGATTGTGGTGGTCGATGTTGTGGACGACAATTGAGGATGGTGGGGATAGTTGTGGGTTGTGGGAGACGAGGGCAGTGGTGTTGCCGCTAGATGGGTGGCAATTAGTCGCAGCAGGTGGGTAAGAATGATGAAATTGATGGCAAACCAGCAACAGAAGAGGAGTGACGATAAGTAGTGAGTGTGGGTGGCGTTCACAATCAACCATAGAGTTATCTTGCGATGTATTTTGAGTTAAAAAAAAAAAAGAGTTTTGAGTATATCAAACATAAACTACAAAGTGAATTAAAAATTTATCAAAATTTAATTATAAATTTCTTTTTCATCAAACTAAGCACTAAAATTCCTAAAACACTACAATTGAAATACTGCACTCTTATGTTTCATCAAACCACATAGACTTTAAACATACAAAGAAATATTTTCATAAATATCTCATTAATCTTATACACAAAATTATAGATGTTAATATGAGATTCCTGAGGTCTAGGCAATGTCATGTTACAATCTAAAATCATAGTGGACTAATTGACAAAGTTAGCACATTTTTTTTCAATAAAACAAACTGATTCTTTATAATAGTTGGCATAATTATATGTGTGCGCTATTGTTAGGTTACATGTGATACTAAAGTTAATATTATTGTATCGTGATGATTTCTAGATAATGGTACTCAGAAAAGTCTAGGAATAGAATGAATTTCAATAATGCTTTTCATATGCAAATAGATGGTTAGTCTGAAAGGACTGTTCATATATTAGAAGATTTATTGAAACTATGTATATTGGATTTTGGTGAGAGCGAGAAGGATAATGTCATTTTGATTGAATTTATTTATAATAATAATTTTCAATTTAAATTTGACCTGGCTTTTTTATGAAGCACCATATAGCTAGAGTTGCAAGACATCTTTGCCTTGGACAGAGGTGGGAGAAAGTAGTGTATTATGACCAATTTAAGTGAATGATACTGTTAAAAAAATTAGACTTATTAGAGGAAAATTGAATTCAGCTCAAGATCTAGAAAATATTATGATTCAAAGCATCAGATTGTGTGATTTCATGTTGGTGATTTTTGAGCATATGAAAGTCAACCATGTAAAAAGTGTGAGTAGATTTGACAGAGAAGAAAATTTGAGTTTAAGATACATTAGACCTTTTGAATTAGACTTGAAAGTCTACTGATCATTTACCACTGTTAGTTCATATATCATATATTCATGATATGTCTCACATTTCTTCTATAAGAAAATGAGTTATATATGTTGTGAATAGAATTGCATAAGGAAAAAACCCTAAATGTATCTTGACTTACAATTTTAAACAATTAAAAACAATCAAATTCCAATAATAAAAATATGATGGAAGCATAGATATGGTAGGGAAGCAACTTAGGAGTCCGCCCCCTCTCTCCCCTTCTATTCTGTAATGTGATGGATGGGCTATCCTGCATGCTTACCTCCCCTCACCTTGCTACGGCTTTTGATGGCTTAAATATGAATGGTATATGTGTTAACCACCTTATGTATGCAGATGACCTTTTAGTCTTTGGTGTTGCCTCTAATGTGAATGCTACTGCTTTGATTCTGTCCTTGGATCACTTTTCGGGTGCCTCTGGGCTTTTTATTATCCGAGATAAAAGCTCTATCATTTTCTCCAACTTTAACTCAATAGCAAATGAGATTTGCTCCATGCTTGGTATCTCTAATGTTGGCTACTCTCTTACTTATCTGGGGCTGCCTAATTACTCCAAACGGCTTAATTTCACTCACTTCTAACCACTACTGAGTAGAATTTCAACTCTACTTGCTGGTTGGAAAGTTTTTTTTTTCTTTTGCAGATAGGATTCAATTTATCAAATTCACCAATGCGAATACCATAACCTATTGGATTAGAGGTTCCATCATACCAAAAGGTTGTCGTAAACACATTTCTAGGCTTTGCTCAAGATTTCTGTTTCGAGGTAGCATTAATAAGAAGAAATTACAATTAATATCTTAGAAAATTGCTTCTAAACCCAAATGCAAGGGGGGCCTTGGTCTTCTTAATGTCGACTCCATTTATCATGGAGTTTTTTGCTCATTTATTTGTAGAATGTATAATCAATACTCCCATATTGGGTCCTGGTTCAAAGCAAAATACATTTCCCCTTGGAAACCTCCCCCTATAAACTCCTCCAAAACCTAGAAGCTTATTTGCTCAACTGCCATTAAGATCAGGAATAATGTTAAACTCTCGGTGTCCCCTTCTTGTAACCTATCTATGTTCTGGTACCCACGGTGCAATGGAAAAGCTTTAGCGAAATTATTTGTACCTGATAGAAATTTTTCTCAGTCTATTACGAGCTACTTTCATAACTCCATCTGATCACATTCTTTACCTGATCAAGTTTCGGATGCTATCCTTAGCATTCCTATTATTGATCAACTGACAATCACTTGGGAAGGCTCTAGCATCTTTCAATTTAAACGCTTTGCTGCTCACTTTTACTCGGATTTGGATATGGTTCACTGGAGTAAATTTCTCTGGTATAAAAATTATTCACTCCGGTTCTCTTCTTACACTTGGATGGCATTACTTGGTAAGCTGAAAAATGTTGATGTTTTAATCTCTCGATCCATCAATGTTAATGCTGGCTGCCCCTTTTGCCTGGAAGCACCTGAAAGTCATAACCACCTGTTCTTAGAATGTGATTTCACATTTATGGTGATAACTACGATCTTCCCGTGGCTGAATGGATTCCTTCTTAGGCCGAATTTGCTTCAAGTTTTTGACCTTTTGGAAAGCAACCAAAACTTTAATGCTCATGATAAGAACTTTTGCTTCCTTACTATTTGTGATCGATCTATCATATTTGGAGAGAAAGGAATTTAAGGAGGTTTTCTCGGTCTTGGAATAGCCCGGATGCTGTTAAATTTGCTATTGCAAAGAATATCAAGCTGAAAGTCAGTAATTAGAAACATTTTGATCGTCTTCAACAATGTTTTCCTACTGTTTTAGGATGACTTTTGATAGTTTTTCTGCTTCTTTTGGTTGGTTTTTAGTTTGGACGATGATGAGCAAAGCCTTCTACGCCCTTCGCACTTGTTTGCTGGAGTT